GCCAGGCTGTCCTAGGGTTTTACCAGCTGTTCCAGTGCTCCTGGGAACTCGAAGGCGCTTGGAGGGCGCATTTTGGGCTGAGACATTCGGCGTGGGTCTCCTCTTTCTCTCCCCACCCTCTCCCTCGTCCCACCGCAGGCCGCCCTCCGGCCGAGGAAGTGGACGTGATGCTGCAGCGCTGCGAGGGAGGGGTGGATGCTGCCCTCCAGTACGCCAAAAACATCTCCAAGTACATGAAGGACCTGATCGGATACCTGGAGAAAAGGACCATGCTGGGTGAGGCGGGGAGGACGGCGGGTGGGTCCTCTCCGGAGTGGGGCTGAGCCCCTACGGCAGCACCAGCACAGGTCGAGGTCCTCCCATGCACGAGGCCGAGGGAGCCAGGCACTGCAAGGGCTGCGGTGAACTCCAGCCCTGCGGTTCCCGATTTATTTGGAAAAAGGAACCCGGTCAGCAGGGACACCCTCGTGGCTCGGACGTCCTTCCAATCTCAGCCTTTCTCTTCCAGAGATGGAGTTCGCCAAAGGGCTGCAGAAGATGGCGAACAGCTGCAAGCAAACCATCAGCCAGGAGGCAAGTCCCCACGTCCCCGACGGCACCGGCCGTCCGGGCTGCTCCAGCGGCCCTGGAGAGCTTCTCTTGCCCGGCCCCGGAGAGCGGGCGTGCAGTTCTCCAAAGCTCCTTCCCTGGCAGAATTCCCATGTCCTAACCAAAGCAAAGGACGATGCCGAGACCCTGCGAAAGCTCCTCCACTGGTAGCTGGTGCTTCTGCCCGGCCGTGCCGGCAGGGAGAGCCCGGGCAGGCTCGCACGCCGGATGCGCCCCAGCCCCTGCTCTCCAGCCCGGGCACTGGGCAGGCGATGCTCCGACCTCCCCCCAGCACTCTCCGTCCCCCCAGGACGCGTCTCCGTCGGCTCACGCTGCGGTGCCGGGCTCAGGGCCGTGTGTTTTCTCCTTTCTCAGACCAACATGCCCTTCCTGTCCATCTACCTGCTGGCCCTGGAGCAGGACATGGAGCACGGGACGTCGGTTCTGCAGGCTGCCAACACGCTGCAGCACCAGACCTTCCTCCAGGTGAGCGGACGGAGGGCCGTCCGTCTGTCTCGAAGGGTCCTCCCCGGCAGCTGGGCAGTGAGGAGGCCACTGATCTGCTCAGTCCTGCTGCCCCAGGCAGCTCCTCCACAAACGGGCTCTGCTCGGCTCAGCCCCGCTCGGGCTCGGCGTTCCCAGGCTTTGCGCTGGCCTCGGCGGATTGAGCCCAGGGGCTCAGCCGCTTCAGGTCCTTGGGGACGGGTCGGACGCAGGGTCTAGGAGAAACCCCCAAGTCTGGCAAAGCAAACAGCACCTCCTCACCGCTCTCACCTCGTCCGAGGGCTCTGCGTGCCCACATTCCCCGCCAGCCCCCGCCAAGCCGCTCCCGTCTCGAGCTGCTCTCCGGAGCTGTTTGCCCGGGCGCGGGG